AAAAAAAAAAAAGAGAGTCCAGACATCATATTTCAAGAAATTATAAAGGAAAACTACCCTGATCTATTAAATCCAGAGGGTAAAATGGAAATTAAAAAAGCCATTGATCATCTCTTTCAAGAGATCCCAAAACAAAAACTCTCAGAAATATTATAGACAAATTCCAGAACATTAAAAAGAGAAAATATTGCAAAAATCCAGAAAGAAACAATTCAAATATAGTAGAGCCACAGTTAGGGTCACACAAGATTTAGGAGCTTCCATGTTAAAGGAGTGGAAGACTTAGAATATGATATTCCAGAAGACAAAGGGGCTAGTATTAACAACCAGAAATAAGCTACCCAGAAAAATTGAGTACAATCCTCCAAGGGGAAAAAAAAGATTAAATGAAAAGAAAACTTTCACGCATTCCTGATAAAAAGATCAGAGCTGAAAAGAAAATCTGACGTTCAAACACAAGACTCAAAAGAAGCAAAGAAGAGAGAAAGATAGATAGAAGAAAATAGGATAGAGGTAGATACACAGTTAATAATCATAACTATGAATGGGATGAACTCACTCATAAAATAGAAGCAGATAGCAGAATGGATTAGAAACCAAAACCCAATAATATGTTGTTTACTAAAGACACACTTGAAACAGAAGGACATAGAATTAGAATAAGTGGATGAAGCAGAATTTAATATGCTTTAGCTGAAGTAAAAAAAAAAAATCAGGGGTAGCAATTATTATCTCAGACAAAGCAAAAGCAAAAATAGACCTAAATAAAAAGAGAAACTACAGTTTGCTAAAAGGTACCATAGACAATGAAGTAATATAAAACATTTACAAGTTTCTCTGATTAAAGTCTCATTTCTCAAATATATCAGGAATAGACTCAAAGCTATAAAATTAAGGGCCATTTCCCAATTGATAAATGGTCAAAGTATAGGAACAAGAAGTTCTCACTGGAAGAAATAAAAATATCTATAGTCATATAAAAATATTCTGTATCACTATTGATTAGAGAAATGCACATTAAAATAACTCTGAGGTACCTCCTAACACCCATCAAATTTACTAACATGACAGAAATGGAAAATGACAAATGTTAGAGATATGTGGGGGGGGGGAACACTACAGTAATTCACTGTTGGTGGAGTTGTGAACTAGTCCAACCATTCTGGAGAATAATTTAGAACTATGCTCAAAGGGGTATAAAACTGTGCATACCCTTTTACCCAGCAATACCACTCACTACTAGATCTGTATCCCAAAGACATCAAAGAAAAAGTAGAAGGACCTACAAAAATATTTAAAGCCACTCTTTTTGTGGTGGCTAAGAATTGGAAACTGAGGGGATGCCCATCAATTGGGGAATGGCTGAACAGGTTGTGGTGTATGAATGTCATGGAGTACTATAGTGCTATAAGAAATGATGTGCAGGCTGCTTTCAGGGAAAAAGTGGAGAGACATATGAATTGATGCAGAGTGAAGTGAGCAGAACCAGAAGATCATTGTGCACAGCAAGAGCAACCTTGTAATGATGATCAACCCTGAAAGACTTAGTTACTTCAACACAATAATTTATGATAATTCCAAAGAAATCGTGACAAAAAATGCTATCTACTTCCAGAGAAAGAACAAATGAACTCTGAATGTAGATTGAAGTATAAATTTGTTCACTTCCTCTATTTTTCTTACTCATTTTGGTGATATGGCTAATGTGGAAATGTGTTTTGCATGATTTCACATGTATGATTGATATCATATTGTTCACCTTCTCAGTGGGTGGGAGAAAGGCTGGAGGGAAGGAGAGAATTTGGAATTCAAAAAATAATTTAAGTGTTAAAAATAAATAAATAATACAATTTTTAAATGAACAAAAAATTAAAATGAATCTTGAGGAAGTTGAGACTTGTTCAAAGCCACAAAGCTGAAGGCCATCTAAAGGATGGTTTACACTTGGGTCTCCCGGGCTGTAAGCCCTGTGCTCTGTGCATTGTACCACATACTACTCATGGGATCTATGATTTCATCCACGTGAGTCCTTCCTCCAATATGCCCTTTATCACTTAGAGGATTCAAGAATGTCTAAAGCCTGCAAACCTACTTCTAAGTTCCACAAAGCTCAGTTAGGTCTGTCCTTGCAAATAGACACATAATATTAAGACAACCAGATGGATTCCAAATCAGTTATTTGACTCATCTCCAAGAAGAACTTTGGAAAGTTCAACACCAATAAGGCAATTGGTCTTCAGTAGAATTGCCTAGGGATCTGTCATTGGTCCTGTACTGTTTAGTATTTGCATCAATGAGTTGGATAAAAGTATAGGTGTCATATCCATCAAATTTGCAGATGACCCAAAGCTGGAAGGGATAGTCAAAACACTGGGTGATAGTGTCAGGACCCTGAAGGAGCTTGAGACATGAGAGCATTTAGTTGAATTAAGTAAGATGATTTGATAGAGATAAATACAAAGTCTTGTAAGACTTTTAAAGTGAGACCAAAAAAAAATGAGTATTACAAGTACAAGATGGGAATAACTTGGTTAGACAGAAGTTCTAAAAAAGACAGTTTGGATTTTAGTGAGACAGCAGTGTGATTGGAAACTAGGTATGCAGTGGCTAGTGCACTGGGCCTGAATGAGAAAAACCTAACTTCAAATCCTGCCTCAGACACTTCCTGGTTATGTTACCCTGAACAAGTCACTTCTCTTCTGTGTGCCTCAGTTTACCTATCTATAAATGAGGATAATAATAGCACTTACCTCTCAGGGTTATTGTAATGATAAAATGCAATAACATTTGTAAGGTGCTTGGCATAGTGCCTAGTAAGCACTTAACAAATCCTTCCTTCTGTCCCCTCCTTCCCTTCTGTCTTTCCTTCCTTCCCTTTTTTCCTTCTAAAAAAAAGCAAATTTAATCCTGTGTTGCATTGAGGGGTACAGCTTCCAGGATTAGGAGGTGATAATTGTATGTATTCTGCTCATGCCTGGAATATTTTATTCATTTCTGGTCATGAGGGTTTGAACTGGAAAGTATCCAGAGAAGGGCAACCAGAATGACAAAGGGTCTTAAATCTGTATCATACAAGTATCAGTCCAAGGAATTGCGTATGTTTAGCCTGGAGAAGACAACTCAGGGCCTGTCAGTGGATGAGGTATCAGATATGTTCTGTTTGCCTCAGAACTAGGCACAATGGGTAAAATTTGAAAAGAGATAAATCTAGGCTTGATTCAAGAAAATCTGTCTAAGGACTAGAGCTGTCCAACAGTGGAATGGACAGATTTCCCTTCCTGGGAGTTCTTCTAGCAGAGGTTAGCCAACCACCAGTCCCATGTGTTGGAATTCCTTTGGTGTATGGGCTGGACCAACTGGAGGCTGAGGTTTCTTCCAGGTCTCAGATTCTGTGATTCTGTGTGAGTCTAGGTGCCGACTAGGATTCTTTGGGCCAGACGCTATAAAGCACGTGTCAGTGTAATAGAAGGATGGGTTTACAATGTTTGGGCTATAAGTGAACTTTGAGATCACCTAATCTGACTCTCACTTTAAAAACTAGAGAGCACTTAGCTCTTTCTAAGCAAGGCTTCGACACCATGGCTAGTAACAGTAAAGGCTCATTTTTAAAACTCAAAAGAAAACTGAAATTTTAAAAAAAGAGAGGAAGGAACTAATGTCCAGAGAGAAGAAATACCCTGGCCAAAACCACATGGAGGGTTGTCAGTACAGTTGAGACCGGCCCTCAAGTGTCCTGACTCCCAGGCCTGGACAACATAGAAAGAATACCTGGGCTTGAAAGGAATAGCCGTGAGTTGAAATCCAAGTTTTAGGGCATCCTAGCTATGTGACCTTGGGCATGGGCTAGGAAAGATTCCTTTCATGTATGGGTTGGACTAGAAGGCCATTTAGGTCCTTTTTTATTTTCAGATTCTATGATATCACTTCCTATCTTCAGGTTTCAGTTTCCCCATCTGTTAAAAAATGGTGAGCATAATAATACATGGCATGTCCATTTCACAGGGGATTAGCTGAGTATGACACTCAACTGGCCAGCCCCTTAAGCAGATCATCAGGAAAAGGCACTTGACTTGAGTAAACCCTAGCTCTCAACAAAGGCTGTTTTGGTCACTCCCCTATTGTGTCCCCTCACTTGTCCTTACTGATTTAAAGTTTCACTTTGATTTCTGGGTTTACTCCAAAGACAAGTTATCTAGTTTCATGAAGACTTTCATTGTGGCAGTTGCCTTCAATGGCTACCTCCAATTATGTCATATCTGCTTGACTTTGGGCAAGTCACTTAGTTTCACTAATACTCCATTCCTTAATGAAGGCTTTGGATGAGATAGTCCCTGAGCTTTCTTCCAACACTAACACTATAATGTGATCTCTGTCATGGTTCCATCAGTTACTATTCTGAAACCTTTTCTGTTCCTGCCGTCCCTCATCAAATCATCTCATCTGCTACCTTATTTTTTTTGTTTCAATTTTTTTTTGAGTTTTAAAAATAAGCCTTTTGCTGTTGATGGTGAAAGTGCTGAAGTTTTGCCAAGAAAGGACTCACTGCTCTCTAGTTGATAAATGCTACACAGATCAATGATTAAAAATGCAGTTCTGGCCTCAATATAAAGAGAAATTCTGTGCTAGGCTGTGTTCTGGATGGATCCTGTGATAAGAACATAAAGACTCAGAACCATGGGATCTCAATGTTTGGTGAACATGGGTTATCACAAATGGTTCTCATATGTGTTCACTGGGCTGCCCCATTATCTCTTGTAAGGTTGCCATATTTATGTGTGCAGTTTCCAAGAATGCAGCCCCTACCCTACAGAGGGATGAACATGAAGCTCTATTACAGACCAGAATAGACTAGAGGTCTCTGAAGTCCCTTTCACTGCAGAGATTCTGGGGGTCTCCCTTTCTCCTCTGTGTTCATTTCCCTTCTATCTGATGAGGAAGCTGCTGATGGGCTCCACACTGTGAGCAATCAGGAGGAAGAGGGAAATAAAGGAGCCTGGAGCCAGCCTTTTCAAACAGTTTAATTCCTCTGGAGAGAGCCAAGAATTGCCCTTTGGAGTCAAGACTGATATTCGCACCATGCTGAAAAAAGATACAAGAATTGGACAGGTGGCAGGTATTGCTACAGGTGTGATTATCCCCATTTTACAGATATACAAATGAAGGCTGAGATAATATTTCCTTGGGATCCCACAGTTAGCAAGTTTCTAGAGAGGGCCTCCAGCTCAGGTCTTTTAGCACTTTATACACCATATGACACTGCCTCTTGTAAAACCAAGGACTATCAAATCAGCCTCTGACCAGATTCCCAAACACCTTGACAACTGTTCTGATAAAGTCTCGTGTCTAAGGAACTTCACTGGGTAGGGTTCCTAGAAGTGTCATTAAAATATGGCGGAGAAGCCAAGTGACTCCAAAAATGAAATCACTGAGTCAATCGGTGAAGTTTACTCTCACCCTGGTTTTCTCATGCCAATACTGGTGCTATGTCCAGCTTACCACACTACCTCTGGTGAGACCAGACACTGACCTCTGCTGCCTCCCAGATCAGTGTTTTCTCCCCTAACTTTTTAAATCCTCCAAGATCTCATCAACTTCCATGGATTTAATTATCATATTTACTCAGAAGCTTCCTGATCCCCCCAACCTGCTGGAACTCTCACTCTCAAACCACCTTGTATTTAACTACTTGGTATAGAATTCTATTCTTTTGTTTTATAATTATGCAGTATGTATTTTGACATGGTTTTTCTGCATCTCCTCTTAGGATGTAACAGGTCTGCTTTCCTTCAGTCTTTGCATCCCCAGTGATAAGCACAGAGCCTGACATAGGGTAGTAATTTAATCAATGTTTAATTGATTGGAAGAGGGGAGCCAGAATGACCTTGAGGGTTAAGTATTTCAGGAGTAGCCTGAGCTGGGCCCTTGTAATTTCCAGAACTAGTCATCAACCCAAGGAACCAAGATAGTTTATGAGTTCTGTGTTAGACCTTCTCCCCAAATTTCCTTCCTAGCTCAATAGGTAGAGGTGGGAAGCCTGGGAGGACCAAGAAGATGTACATATGCATGTATGTATATTCATATGTGTGTGTGAAGGTCTCATGAAGTATGCATGTAGATGGCATGGCTCGGCCTTTACTCCAGCAATGATGAAGTGAAAAGAAGGGTCTGTGGCTGCCTGATGGGTTGGGAGCATCACTTGGCCCAACTCATCAGACCCAGAATGCTTGGCTTTAAGTAAGAAGTAAAAAATAGAGAGAAGGTGTGGATGGTAGATGGAACGATGTTTGACATCTGTGTCCATTCTTCAGGTGTGGGAGACAGCAGAGCTCAGAAACTGCCTTCACATTCAAGGACACAATCCAGATGACTTGCAGTCCCATTTACAGATGAACAAGAAGGGTAAGGAGCAGTTGTTATCATTCCACGATTGGAGTCTGTTCTTTGAAAAGTGGACGCAATGTTCACTGTTTTCTTTGTTGTTTGGTTCATTTGGTGCCCAAAAGCTGGAGGGGGGAGGGAGGGAGGGATGGATGGATGGATGGATGGATGGATGGAGAGAGAGAGACAGAGAGAGAGAGAAGAATCTTTAAGATAAGAGAGGTTCACCCTTCCATTTCCAGTTGTACACCAAAGGTTAATAGGAAAGAAACTCCCTTCCTTGTATTTGGACGTGGCCTCAGAATCTAGAAGGTGTGGAGAAGTCTGGCCTATATTCTGCTCCAATTTGGCTTATTAAAAAGACTCCAAATGATGAAGTTACTGCCAGAGCCTGGGAAGCTAGAGAGACAGGAGGCCTCAAAAATACTGTTTATTAAAGTTTTTTGGCTATCTGATAAAGTCTTTGGATTCCTCAGAATAATGTTCGTAAATGCATAAAATAAAATGCATAGAATATACTGAAACCGAGTGCCAAAATATTTTTTTAAAAGAAAAAGCTCACAGAGCCCAGATTAAGAACATCTGCTCTGGGAACATTCAGCCTCTAACCCTTCCAGAGAGAGCCCAGAGAGTCCTGTATTCTACCCAAACCTCTGCCTGAAGTATCCTGCCTGTCTGGGCAGAAGGCACACTTCTATGTCTTCTCCTCATCTCAGGGCATCTTGGGGCTACACAGACATGCATGCATACCATATGCACATGCATACCATACACATATGCACACACTATGCAAACACACATACCACACACATATATACATGAATATACCACATACATATCCACATTCTTCACCACACATATGCACACAGCATACACACTTACATATACCACATAAACAAATGAATATACCACACACATACACACGCCACACATCAGACACACATACACACACAACGCTGCACACACATCACATACCACATACACATACACACATGTGCCATGTGGCAATGCACCATACCACATACATGTACACATTTACACTGTTGTTACATGCACATGCATGTACATATACATGCCACCATGCATATACACAATTAATAACATATACATACCACACAATGCTCACACTACACACATGCCTCACACATACACACATCACACACCATACATGCATGCACATGCATGTATGTACACAGCATACATACTCACAGAGGGAAGGATGGATGGTGCATGTCTTTTTTTTTTATCCACCTTGGTTTTTCCCTGAGGAAAGCTTTCATTGTCTCCGTAGGATATTTGGACAAAAAGAAGGACCACAGGAAGGAGGGCAGGGGCAGGCTGGACTCACTCTTTGCTCCTGTCTTCATTATAATGGGTCCCATCAGTCCATCTCCAGTCTGAGCTCCTTAGGATATTCAATCCAATCCAATAGTTGCTACCACCAGCTTTTTTATGAATAAATTCCTATGAAATGAGAAAAGGGTGCTTTTAAGGAGGCATTTGTCTATATTTGTACATAAATATGCATGTTGGTGTGCATATTTCTAAGTTTTCCATTGTGTGTGTGCAGGTGTATGCAGGGATTCCTAAATCCCAAGTCTGGGTTCTGGAGCCTGCAAAGCTTAGACTGGGAGGGTAGCTGTCAGAACATTCCTTAGGTTAGACCATTTAGGACATGATGAAAGTTTGCAGGTACCTCTGAGATTCTTGAAGAACACAGCATATAATACTGGGAGAAAAAAAAAAGCAGTACCCCTTCTCTCAGACAATACAGGTCAGGACCAAAGAAACTCCAACATTCTCTCCAGAAGTGCTCAAAGCCTGAACCCAACACAAAGTCCCAATCCAGGAAGTAAAGATGGAAGAATGAGTTTAAAACAAAAAGAAATCAATGATAACAAGTATAGAGCCAGGAACAACTAAGTTACAAACCAGAAGAAGAGAATAACTTCACCATATCCAAAAACAAAACCTCAAGGGAAAACACAGCTTGGCCACAAGGTCAACTAGAATGCCTGGATGAAGTAAAGCAAGAGTTAAAAAATCATTGTGTGAATCAAATAACAGCTTTAGAGGAAAGAAATAGAAAATAAATGAGAACTCTAAAGGAAAGACTTGGGAGCAGAATTAACAGCTGGGTTAAGAAGTTAGCCAAGTAACAGACTCTTTGAAAATGACAATGGACCAAAAAAAAAAATCAATGACTTCATGTGACAACAAGAAATATCAAAGACAAGGACAAAAGAAGGAAAAAATAGAACAAAATGTAAAACATCTCATATAGGAAACAACTGATCTGGGAAACAATTCTAGGAGAAAAAAGAGCCTGGATACAATATTTCTTTTTCCTTTTCTTTCTTTCTTTCTTTCTTTCTTTCTTTCTTTCTTTCTTTCTTT